TCTTTTAGAAAGGCTTTGACTGCATGACATCATCAAACCTGGGTTTCTGCCAAGACATTTACTTATCAAATCAAGCCACAGTGCAAAGAAACAAGTGGACTGGTGGCTGGGAGCTGGGAACCGGCCGGGGTCAGTCAGCTGGCGGTGGAGCGCTCAGGCCTTGCCCAGAGGCTGTGCAGAGCAGGGCCTGGTTTGATTTGCAAATAGCTGGTCCCTGGTGCCTGGGACGGTCTGCTCCCTCCACCGCAGGCCAGGCCTGCTCTGCTCCGAAGCCACATGAGTCCCGATCACCCCGAGGTCTGGTTTGGATGCTGACCTGTGTGAGCCGCGGTGGGGGTATCCACAAACGGCCTAGGAACGGGGGCCGGGGGCGTGTCAGGCAGCACAGCTGCTTGAAGGTGGGGAGGGACTGCAGCCACGGCCCCCTGCCTGAGGTGACTGCAGGCCATGGGCTGCTCCTGCCCAGGCCCGGCACCACCAAGCTTCCCTGACCTCAGACGACCGCAGGCCCCGGGCCAGTCTGTGTCTCTCCCATCAGGGTCCAACAGGAGCACTCGGGCCGAGCCTCAGAGGAGCCCAAGCAGCGCCCAGCCGTCAGGAGCCCGTGGCTGTGCTCTGGGAGGGGGTGAGTCACGGGCATGTGTGTTCAGGTTCCCTTCAGCGCCGGGCGCAGAGTCAATGTGCATAATCATAATAAAGGTTATTTATAAAGCCCGCCTCCTCTGCCCCGCAGGTGTGTTTCGAATAGTTACAAGATGACCCAGTTATAAATACCGTGATCTAGGGAGGAAAGATGAAAGCCAGGTAAATACCATGGAGCTAAGCTTGGAACGCTCCCAAGAGCCTCGCGTTGACGCCTGTGAGGGTTTCACATTGCTTTCAAAGCCGCTTTGGTTCCATCTGGGTTCGGAAAGCCCCCAAGTTGACATCAGGGCACGTGTGTGCGGTGCCGGTGGGCCTGGTGCACAGGAGGCACGGGGGTCTTGGCGGCCAGCGCATCTGGGAGCACAGAGAGGGAGCCACAGGGCTGTGGCTAGTGGCCGTCGTGGTGTCCCCCCAGGCTCCCTCCCCCTTCCTCTGGAGGGCCGGGGACACTGCGTGACTCCAGTATGACTGCCTTCTCTCCCCTCCTGGTGTTTAGTTTGCAAATAGGTGACTGTTGGGTGTGGGGAGCTGGGGGATGGGACCGCCAGGTGTCCCCAGCCAGCGTCTTTACTCCGAACTTTGCAAGGCACAAGCTGTGAGCATGAGCATCGTCAGGAGATCACAGGGGCTCCAGGGATTCCACCTGAGTCTGGGGCGCACAGCGGGAGGCCTGGGGGCCGGGGCGCCTCGCTGGGATGTGGAGCAATCTTTGCTGCTCAGCTTTCTTGAAATCCAGACAGCAGGAGCCCATCTTGGATGACTGAGGTGCATCGGGTGACCAGCAGGGTCCCTGGACTTCTGGGACCAGAATCCTTCTGATGTGTGCAGGCCACTGGGCAGCCCACCGCAGACTGGCACGTTGCGGGCAGCAAGCTCACAACTCCAGGCCCCTTCCGGTGGCCCGTGTGGCTGGGTGGAGACTGGAAGGGGCTGGATGTTTGAGCAGGGCCTGGCATCTGAGTCTGGCGCGGCCCTCTGTCTGCCAAGGCCCGGGTCTCCCTGGACAGGTGCCAGTGTAGACGGTTTAAGTCTCATCTCAGAGAGGCTGGGCGGGCGGTCAGCATGGACTGGTCATTGCGGGCAGCCAGTCCGTGGGTGCTGCAGCAACCTTGGGGTGGGCACAGGACAAAGGCCACAGAGTGGGCAGGGTGTGTGGGGCCGAGGTGTGCTTGCGGTGGCTCAGCGGGATTCAGGGCAGACACCTTTGCCTTCCAGGTTTTCTTCGTGCGTGCTGCTGGGATGGAGCCCTGGGCCCTGAGCATGCCAGAAAGCACTGCACCCCAAGCTGCACCCCGTCCTGGACCCCATTCTCTTTGAGCTTTGTCCTTTCCTGAGCTGTGGGCAGCCGGTGTCTCCAGGAGTATTCTAGGCTCTGCTGGCCCAAGAGCCCTGGCTGGACACTGAGCCGGGCTCAACTGCTGAGGGGCAAACGGCTGCAGTGCAAACCCTAACACCCATGGCTGGGGCGGTGCGGGCCTGGGCTGCATTCTGGGAAGGGTGGGCCGTTGGGAGGGTGTGCGGGGGTCCTTGAGGTCAGTGGGCTGATTTGCTGTGCTGAGCATCACCCCCATGCTGGTGACCTGGCATTCTGTCCCCTGGGGTTTGTGGGAGCTGTGGGGGACAGCCAGACCCTGATGGGGGCTCAGGGTTGGGCCAGTGCTTTTGGGGGGGTGAGGGTGGAGGCAGGACTCCGATGACATCGCTTCTTCTGTCACTCTGGGACAGGGCCGCCCTCACCTCAGCCCTCCTTTCCTCATTGCCCACCCTGGAAGGCCTGACCCATCTGGTCAAGCTGAGGCCGTGCTGGAGCCAGGGCCCAGAGGTCCCCACCACAGAGGCTGTGTATGCCTGGGGCAGGTCCAGGGGCCTGGAGGACCAAAGGGAGCACATCTGGGGATGGGGAAGGGCAGCGAAGGCTTCCTGTGCGTGGAGGCCCTGCCGGGCTGGGCAGGCAAAGTTAGACTTCAGCCTGGGTGCAGAGGTACCGAGGACCTGAGCCCTGAGGTACCGTTCAGGGCACCTTCTTTTTTTGTTTGTTTGTTTGTTTTGGTTTTTCTCTGGTACCAGGAAAAGAACTCACGACCTTGCACTTGCCAGGCAGGCGCTGTGCCACTGAGCTAAATCCCCAGCCCCTCAGTTCGGGGCACCTTCCCTCCTACCCTTGGCTGTTCCCAGCAGCTCTTCACCCTCGCTCCAAGGGTCCCGAGTGCTTCAGTCCCAGGCCCTGGGAGCATGTCCCTGGCACCGTCCCCGGTAGGGTCCAAGAGGCCCCAAACCAGGAGTACCCACTCTGGGCTGGCACTGCAGGTGATTTGAGCCCTGCTGCCAACTGCAGTCCCCTCAGAGTGGGGCCAGTGAGGTGGGGTTCAGCCCAGCCTCTGTGTGCCGAAGGTGGGCTCACACGTGCCGTGGGGCCTCTCAGGAGGGGGCCCAGTGCCCCTTCAGTCAGGGCTCCCACATGGGGGCCAGAGCTGAAAGCCCAACCTCACTGGCTGGCTAGTTTTGGAGGTTGGAGGCCCTGGCTGTTGGGATCCCACTTCTAGTGCTGAGGGGCCTTTGCCTGTCTCTTCTATTTGTTTAATTTATTCACATTCTTAGATAAACAACTTCCATCTTCAGAGCATCAGAAGCTTGGCTGCCTGAGCCATCCCTGCGCAGCAGACAGTCACTCTCCACCCCCAGGAGACTCCTGTGGTGGGGCACGGTGGGTACACCCCTTACTCCCACCCTGCCTGATCTTGGAAGCCCCTGGGGGCATGGTCCTGGGCAGTGGCCCCGGCCTGCACTGGTCCTAAAGGATTCAGACGCCCCCAGCAGTGTCCCTGAGGGCCCACGAGTCCGGCCCCAGCTCCACTCTGAAAGCCAGGGTTGGGGGACAGCTGTGTGTCTTTGTCCTTACGGGGGCAGGTAGGGGCCTTTGCCCACCCCCAGGTGGCTGGGGGGACTTTGGTCCAGGCAGGGCTCTGTGTGTGGGTACTTGGTGAACCCCACTGGTGTCCCTGGTTCCTCCCTTGTGGGTGTGCGGGGCAGTGGAGGCGCTTTGGAAGGTGGTTTGTTGTTCCTTCCAGGTCGGCTGTGCTGTTGTGCCCCCGCAGTCGAGGTTTTGGTCTTTTCCTCTGGGGGCTGCTGGTTGTTGTTTGGCTGGCGTTCCTCTGTGGTTGTAGGTCGGCGTTTTGTTCACACTTGCTTGTGTTTGGGCTGCAGCACTGTGTGTTTGGCGGGTGTGTGGCCGGACGGTCGTATTCCGGGGCTGCCGGTGAGGCTCTTTTCCTTCTTTTGGTTTGCGTTCTTTCGGCGTTATCCGTGCCGGGGGGGCTGTGGTCTGTGGCGGCGGTGGAGGTGCTGTTCGTGTCCGGCTGTGTGGTGTGGTGCTCCCAGGGTGTGTCCTTGTGACTGTGGCGCTTTCGGGCTCCTCAGGTTCGGATTTGCTTGGGCTGTGCCGCGTGTGTGTTGCCTTAGTGTTGAGGGGCTTTGGGGGTGGGGGCGGCGGGTGGAGGGGGCTGCTGGTGGCGGCGGTCAGGTGGCCTGGCTTCTCCTGCGGCCCTGCTTGCGTGTGCTGCCGTTGGTGCCGGGTTGTGTTCGCCGGGTTTGTTGGGTTGTGTCTGTGTCCACCCTGGGGTTGTTGGCTTTTTTGCGTGGTGTGTTGGCGCTGTGCTTCCTGTTGGTGTCTGTTTGCTGTGATGTTGGTTTGGGGGTGTCTTGTGTTGGGCGCGGGTGCTGTGGTTGGGTGGGGGTGGGCTGTTTGTGGTGGCTTTGGTTTTTGTGTTTTGCAGGTCCTCTCAGTGCTGCGCGGGTGCCCATTCCGTGGGTGATGGGTGCGCCGAGCCTGCGCTGTTTCGTGTCTCGTCTTGTGTTGGGGGTCTTGCTTCTGTGCCGCTTTTTTGTTAGTTCTTTTGTTTGGTGAGTGTTGGTCTGGGGGGGTGTGGCCTTGTGAGTGCTTGCCGGTTGCGTGATTTGTCTTGGGGTTTGTCCTTTTCTGCCTTGTGTGTGATTTGGGTCGCTTGTTTTTTTACTGGTGGCGTTTAATGTTTTGTCCTGTTTCTGTTGTTGGCTGTCTGGTGCTCTTCTTTTTGGGGTGGTTTGTGTTTGCCAGCCTTGCCCTGTGTGTTGTGTGCCTGCCTTCTGGGCGTGGCGCTCGGCCGGTGGGGGGTCCGTGCTTCTCTCGGGTCTCTGGGTTTTTGTTTGTTTGTCCTTGTTTTGGTTTTTTTTGCGCTGTGTCCCTTGTTCGGTCGTTTTTGTCTCTGGTTTTTGTGGGCTGGTGTGTTTGTTGTTTGTGTTTCGTGTGGTTTTCAGGTCAGGGGTGGTTGGTTTGGGGCGTCGGTGTTCTGTGTGTCTTTTTGGTTTTGGTCTTTGGTTCATCTTGCCCGTGTTTTCTCTGTGCCCACTTTTTCGTTGCTGAGGTGTCCGTGTTTTTTTGGCTGCTTCTTGGTGTTGGGTGCCTGGGCGGTGGCTGGGGGGGCTTGTGGCGGGCACTGGTGGCTCTGTGGTGGCTTTTGTGTGCTTTGTGGGTCTCTGGGTATGTTCATTGGGAGTTTGGTCTGTGGGTGCTGTTGGTCTTGCTGTGCTTTTTTTTTCCGGCTGCTTTGCTGGGCTTTTCCGTGGAGAGCGACGTTGTCCGGGGGTCGGTTTTCCCCCGTGGGCGTTGGTGGGTGGCCAGTGGTGAGTTGTGGGGTCTGTGCTCTTGCCAGGTGTTTCGTGTGCTGGGGCCCTTTGCTGTCTGGTGCTGTGTGTTGAGCATGGTCTTTGGTCTGTGGTCGTTGGCTGCGGCTGGTGCGGGGGTGTGCTTTGTGCCTTGTTCTGTTCGTTCGTAGCTGCTCGGACTGTCCCTGGCGTGTGGGGGGTGGTGTGTGGCGCGAGCGTGTGTGTTTATTAATTTGAGGGGAGGAGACTTGGGTTGCGGGAGGTTTGTTGCTGCTGTGGGGCGGTGAGGTTGGGAGGTTGAGGGCGGTTTTCAGGGGTGGGCCGGGGGTGAGGTGTCCGTGCCGCCCGGTGGCTCGGGTGGTTAGTCGGTGTCGTCCGGGTCCTGGTCTTTGTTCCTGCAGGTCGGTGCCAGGCTGCGGTGTGTGTTGAGGTGTGTGGTCTTGGGTGTTCTGAGCTCGTGGTGGGTGGGGGTTGCGGGGGTTGTGCTGCAGGCCTTCTGGGGCGCCGTGAGGTTGGATCTGGGCGGGCGGGGGCAGGTGGGGCGGGCGAGTCGGGATCTGGAGTTGTGTGGGCGGGAGCGGCTGGGGTGGCCGGGGGGGGTGCAGGAGGAGGCGGCTGGGGCGGAGGCGGGGGGTCTGCAGGCGGGTCTGCAGAGGGGGGGGCCGGGGGGGGAGGCGGGTGTGCAGGAGGGTGTGTTGCAGCCGGGTTTTTGGCAGGGGGTGTTGGAGCAGCCAGGTGTGTGGCAGCTGGGCTTGTGGCAGCCGGGCGTGGAGGTGCCTGGGCCGCTGGGTGTTGGGTGGCCGGGGTTGCAGGAGCTGGGCGCAGGGTGGGTTGTCTGGTGGTGGGAGGAGGAGGAGGCGGTGTGTGAGCTGGTCTGTTTGCAGCAGGCGGGTTTGGTGCCTGCGGGGACGGGTGTGGAGGGCTGGGGGTTGGAGCAGTCGGGTGTGGAGCAGGCGGGTGTGCAGCAGGCGGGCACACAGCAGGACGGCTGGCAGGAGGAGGAGCAGCAAGCCGGCTGGCAGCTGGACTGCTGGCAGCACGTGGGCGTGCAGGAGCTGGTGCAGCCTGACTGGCAGCATGGGGTGCAGATGAGGCTCAGGCAGGGGGCTGAGGTGCAGCAGCTGGGCTGGCAGCAGCTGGGCTGGCAGCAGGGGGGCTCGCAGCAGCTCTCTGGGCAGTCGTCCACCTGCCAGGGCTCGGTGCAAGCGCTGGAGCAGACGGACATGGTGGAGGCGGCCATGGTGGGGTTCAGTGGGTGGAGTTGTAAGTGTGAGTGTGTGTGAGTGCAAGTCGAGTTGTGTTCACAACTGAGGATGTGCAGTGCTTATATACCACTCAGTTCCGTGTCATCCCAGCGTGCCCTCTTCCCTGTTGTTGCTTGGAGAACTTGGAAAATGCTTGTCTGGGCCTGTGGCTGTCACTCAGCTTGTGAAACTCCCTCAGTGTTGGAGCCCAGTGTCCCCTGCACCAAGTAGGGATGTCGCCAGACCTGGGTGGAAAGGCAAGAGCATCATAGCTCCTTCTAATCCTGCCTGGTCATTTTCTCTGGCTCTTACATAATTCCCCTTTGCCTTCGGGATCCTCAGTGGGATTATATGTGTATTTTTTACCTTTTTTTTAGGGAATGAAAATTTTGACTTGCATCCATAGCTCTGACTGGCTAAGGACTGTATTTGTTTGTTTTATTAGATAATAATAAGTCCTGCTTGGTGCCAGCAGCTATTCTGATCATATACAAACATTAACTCATTAACTCTCAACCTCATGAGGTTGGTGCTTCTACTTTTCCTAGATGGGGAAACTGAGGCACAATGAAGTCCTTGTGCAAAACCTATGTGTGCCCGCTGAAGCTGCTGGATGGGAGCCCTCTGTGGCTGTCCTTTTTTTCTGTTTGCATGACCTTCTGATTTATTTTTATTAGTATGTGTGTAGTACATGATGTTTAAAGTCCTTGTGTAGAGTTGGTACCTGTACATCTTAATTCCTTTTTTATCCCCATTTCCTCCCCTTGCTCTCACCCCTCCCCATCTCTTGATCCCCTTCCCACTTGTGAAAGATGTGTCTCCTTTCTTCTGCACCTATTGAGATGATCATGTGATTTTGTCTTTGCTTCTGTTTATTGATTTGTGTATGTTGAACCATCCTTGCATACCTGGGATGAGACCTGCTTGGTCATGATGCCTGATCTTTTAGATGATTCACTGCGTATCTTTCCTCTTACTGGGGATTTTTCCATCTGTATTTATTAAAAAGTTTGATCTATAGTTCTCTTTGTTTGGTTGGATCACTTTAGTATCAGGGTAAAGCTAGCTTCCAGCAATGACTTTGGGAGTACTCCTTGCTTTCTGATTTCATTAAAGTGCTGGAAGAGTTTTAGTGTTAGATCTTCCTGGAAATTTTTCTAGAATTAAGCGCTAAATCCATCCAGACCTGGGTTTTTGCTTTTGTTTGGTAGGTATTTTTTATTGCTGCATCAATTTCATTGCCTGATATTGGATTATTTAGGATTTTAAAATCTTCTTTGTTCAGTTTTAGTAATTCTTATGTATCTAGCAATCTATCTGTTTCTGCTGAGTTCTCTAATTTATTGCTGTACAGGTTAGCAAAATAGTTGTTAACAATCTTTTTTTTTATTTTGGCAGTGTCCATTGTGATTTCACCTTTTTCTTCTTCTTTTTTAATGTTTTGAGAGAGAGTTTTATTATGCAGTTCAGGCTGGCCTTGAACTCACTTTGTAGCACATGCTGGTCTTGAACTCACAGTGATCCTCCTGCCTCCTGAGTGCTGGGATTACAGATGTGTGCCACCACACCTGGCTTGATTTCACTTCTATTTACATGGATTCGGGTGTTTTGTCTCCTTTTTTATTAGACTGACTAATGATTTGCCTATTTTGTTTATTCTTTAGAAAAACCAACTCTCTGCAATTTTATTGATTTCTCATGTTTATTGATTTCTGCTCTGATCATTATAATTTCCTTCCTTGTCCTTGATTTGGATCTGGATTATTCTCATTTTTCAAAGACCTTGTGTTATGTCATTACATTATTTATTTGGGTTCATGATGTGGGTACCCACAGCTATAAACTTCCTTCTTGAGACTTTCATTGTGTCCCATATGTTTTGTTCAAAAAAAAAAAAGAGAGAGAAATTGTCAATAACTGGGCTGGGGATATAGCTCAGTGGCATAAGTGCTTGCCTGGCAAGCCTGAGGTCATGAGTTCGATTCATGGTACCAAGGAAAAAAAAAAGAAATTGTCCTATGTTTTGTTAGGACAATTGTTGTACTGGCATTATCATTTAGTTCCAGAAACTGTGTTATGTTCCTTGATTTGATCCGTAAATCATGGTTTATTTAAGAGTATATTGTTTAATTTCCATGCTTTGCTTAATTTCTCTGTTTTTGTTTTTTTTTTTAATTTCCTTTTGGTACCAGGAATTGAACTCAGGACCTTGCACTTGCCAGGCAAGCACTGTGCCACTGAGCTGTATTCCCAGCCTATGTTTTGTTGTTGATTTCTAGTTTCATTGTGCTATAATCTGATAATGTTCATAGTATAATTTCAATTCTTTTACATTCTCTTACATTTGTTTTATTGGCTTGTTTGTGGTCTATTTTGGAGAAAGTTCCTAGTGTGTTGAGAAGAATGTGTGTTCTGTTGTTGGGTGGAGCACTCTGTAGATATCTAATAAGTCTAGCTGTTCAAAGCTTTATTCAACTCTGATATTTCTTGTCTGGTTGATCTGTCTATTTGTGATAGTAGTATTGGGGTCCTCCACTGTAACTTTATATTTATCTTTTTTTTCCAGTAGTACTTCTTTTATGAAGTAGTGTATATATTTTAATAATTGTTATCTCTTCCAGCTGGATTTTTCTCTTATCCAGTATGTAATGTCCCTGCCTTTTTTGATCAGTTTTTGTTTGCAGTTCACTTTGTCTGAGTATAGGATAGCTAGACCTGCTTTTTTTTTTTTTTTTTTTTTTCATTCTTGTTGCATAGAATATTGTTTCCATCTTTTGATTTTCAGTCTATGAATTTCTTTTTGGGTTGTGTTTCTTGTATATAACATACTGTTTGATTTTGTTTCTTGACCCATTCTGCCTGTCTCTGTCTTTTGATTGGGAAATCGAGACCATTCACAGTGATATTTACTACTGATAAGTACTGACTTATTTGTGTCATTGCCTTATTTTCCTGTTGCTGATTCCCTATCTTTCCCTCTACTTCTGTTCATCCTTCCTGGTGCATTCATTCTTTTTTTATTTTAAAGAGAATAATAAAAAAAAAATAAAAATGATACAGAGTTTCAAAGACAAGATGATAGGAAATTAACAATGGTTATTGTATTGCATATTGTTATCTTCAAAATGGTTGCTCAGATTAACAGATATAGGCATGTAAGATTGGTCAAACAATATAAACACTAACTGTCCCTTTCAATGAACTAATAGAAATTAGTAGTACAATTATCCTAGCTATCTTAAATTATATATATAGAAACCAAAAACCACACAGATCTCTCTCTCTGTCTGTCTCTGTCTCTGTCTCTGTCTGTCTCTGTCTCTCTCTCTCTCTCTCTCGCTCCAGCTCTATGTATTTCTGCTGCATTCATTCTATTATACCTTTTGTCATTGTTAGCTTCATTGTATCTCTCTAAGATATCCTTGAGAATTATTTGGAGCTCTCATTTGGTGGTCATTAATTCTTTAAGCACTCTTTATCATGAAAATATCTTATTTCTCCATCAATTTTGAAAGATAGTTTTACAGGATATATGAGTTTGGGTTGGAAATTGTTTTTCTTTTATGTCTTCAAACTCTTCATTATCAACTCTCTTGGCCTTTAATTTAAGTCTGCTGTAATTCTAGTGGGGTTTCCTTCATACATGATTCATTCCTTTTCTGTAACTGCTGTCAAAAATCTGTTCTTTGCTGAACTTCCAGAATACTGACTACGATGTGTCTGGCAAAGCTTCTTTTCTGATCATGGCCACTTGGGATTCTCTGTACCTCGCCTATTTGTATGTTAAATTCTATTCCTTTTGTACTGGGAATGTTTTCTGTTGTTTAAGTTAACAGGTTCTTTTTAATGTCATTTGTGATATCTTCTGATTTTTCATTAATTCCTGCTAAACTTAGATTAGTCTTATTTGCATCTTCTAGGAACAGTTGGTTCTAATTTTCATATGCTTTTTGTTGTTTTTAAGGAACCTCTCATTAATTCATCACCAACAACAGCCCTGTCATTTAGTTTTGGCACTCTTTCTTCACACTGGTCACTTCTGCTGCCCATACTTCTGAGGTCTGTTTTTTTGTTTTGTTTTGTTTTTTGTTTTTTGTACTGGGAATCGAACTCAGGACCTTGTGCTTGCCAGGCAGGTGCTTATACCACTGAGCTATCTCCCCGGCCCTGCCCATACTTCTGATAGCATTTTTAATTGCCTACATTTCTATTTGGAACCTTTCTGTGAACTCTAATTCTTTTCTGTGCCTTGTCATTCATGTTTTGCTTCATTTTGTTTACCTCTGCTAACAGTTCATTAGTGTGTCCTACAGACTTGCTGATTATTTTATTTTGCCTAGTATCTCTTTCCTCATACCTTTTATGAGCTTGCAACCTGCTTTACTGATCTGCTTTATTTTCTCCTAATATCATTTTGAATAATTTAGCTGTGTGCCTTTTGTTTTCCTCCCCTTTAGTGCCCCATATATTGATTTTGGGGGAGTTGGGAATTTTAGAGCTATTTTAGTGACTTTTTTTTCTCATGTTTCTGTTTGTTTTTGTGGTGAGGCTTGGTTATACTGGAATGCTTTTCTTTAGTATGGAGACCTCTGTAGGTGTTATCTAAATTTCAGTGGTGTCCTCTGGGTGTGGCTAACTGCTGGCCTTTGCCTCTGCACCAGGACCCAAACCCCTCCATTTACTTGGATGGGAAGTTGCAGCATATTTGACTCAGTACCCGGTTCTCCTGGAATGGACCACAGTAATGTTAATGACCCCAAAGCAGTCTAGATATTGTTTGGCATTTCAAGAAATTTCAAGAAAACCAGTCAACAGCAATAGCTATGTTACCTTGGCCATTGTAATAAAATTAGCATCAACTATAGCAGCAAATATAAACTGAATACTGATAAATCCAAAGGACCAATAATGTGCCACCCTTAGCCATAGAAAAGAGATTTATAATTAGGTTATGAGCCCTGAGAAAAACCAAATATGGACCTACTATTGACCTACAGTAATATCTTGGATTATTTCTACTTTTTGATTACTGTG